TTTAGCGCAGAGTCGCGCTTACTATACTATTAGAATTTTGTCACACATAATTAATTTCTAAAATGATGTTCCTTTTTTCTGAGTGGAGCACATTGCTTGCTAAAATTCTATTATGGGCTGTCATCTATATTGTATTTATAGTAGTATTTAACTTCTATTATTATAGACAATTTCTTAGACAGTATTGTCGTCATTATTTTTGACAGTATTTTAGTAAATGCCTATTGAACTGGTTTATTCCTTGACATAAATGATAATGTCCATTTTTACAGGCACTTTTAAAAACTTACATTCATTCATTTTATTTGTTACAACTTGATATACAGTAGTGGCACGCCATTACTATGCATTGACTGCTGACTTGAAGCCCAAAAATGATTGTTTATTTTTAAGTGAAAATGATTAGAGTTTAATAAACTTGATCTAGTTGTTACAACACTTATTAATTACAATAATAATGCATTATTTAAAATTATTTGAATTGCTGAAAATTAGACATTATATATGATATAGAAAATCAAAATACATGTTTGCAACTTCGTTTCCTGGAAATGCTGTATGCCATTGACCTCCAATTTTATTTTTGCAATCTGGGCAATTTCCCTCCTGATCTGGCTGACCGCACTGAAATGATAAACACTTCATTATAAACTTGTGAAGAAGGTACATGACACACGACACAGCTCAATTGCAAGAAGGAAATGAAAAAATAAATTTGCTTATGCCAAAGTTCATTTGTGGTATTTGGCATAAGCAGATGGCTTTCATGTTCAGTAAGACTCATTATTTTTGGTACAGAACAAATTTGTATAAACAAAAAACAGAATGATATTTGATTTGTTTTGTGTATATAATGGTGGATTATATTTTAGGTTTTGGTGTTGCTCAAGAATTTCTTGCATAGCAAAATTCTGTTTTCTAAATTTATGAATGTGTACTTACATCTCCTATGGCGTATAAATAACCACATTTGCATTCTATATAAAAAACAAAAACAGTGAATGAGTAAAAATACTTATTTTGTTTGTATGGTTGTGAAAGTAGGGTTATAAATATCTTGGGAAACAACAAAATTTGATGCTTTCTAAAACATAAAATGCTGCTTTTCAAATGTTGTTAGATAAACCGATTTCTAACCAATTACACCATAGGCAAGCACTGTGTACATAAAATAGTTAAATGACATCTATTCACAGATTTAACATGTAACAACAAAAAAATTGAATGAGAACAAACTGGAATGTAGACATTATTACTTTTGCTGTACTTTTTGGATCTGGATCAATTCTCCTCAACGCCACTAAAAGGAGCAAAAAAATTAGGGCATAGACACTTAAATTGACTGGAAATAAATTCAGATTTTTATAGCAAATGTCTTGACATCTTACCTTACCTATCCTCTGTAGGCCTTGTGGCCCAGAAGGCTGCAAACATTAGTGATCAAAAAAAAGTTAATAACTTCTTTGATACTTTTAAATGAGTTTCTAATTTAACCTTTAATGTTGATTACTATTATATTTCCTTTTATTTTTACTTACCATACCAAGTCAGATTGTCATCTTCCGTTGCTTGGTGAAGAACTGCCTGTGCTTCCATGCGGTCATCTTGTGGCATTGCTGGTAAATATGCTTGCTGGAATAACAGTTGATGGAATGAGGAAAAAAACACATTTAGTATTTAAGTAGCAATGAATTTGCTGTTAAGCAACACATGGGTAAGTGACGTAAGAATGATAACTTGCTATTGAACATTCTTACATTATATATACTTGATGAATTTTAATTTAAATTAAGGAAATGTTTGGCCAAACTAACCATGTACCTTGTCAAACAACATTGATAAAATTACACAAACCACATGGTAAGTTTAGCGGGCCACTCCACCCGTCTTTAATAGTTGGTCATACAGGTGGGAGAAGCGATGTGCGCCTTCGTCCATTGATTGCAGTGTTATTTCTTCTAAAACATATTGATTCTTTAATTTTCCGCTTTAGCCACCCTTGTTCTTTATGTAGGATATTGATGTCCTCCCAGTCTGGTATGTGATTTTCATGCATCATATCTGTTATAGCTGACTTGTGTAATAATGCGGCCTGCTACTATCGAACATCGGCGGAAACCCTTCACAGATTCTGACAATGCCTGACTGATAGCCAGGCGAAAATGTCAACAACTAAAAACAGTGAGTAATAATTGGTTTATCACAAGGAATTATATATATTTAGTGCTATTTGAAACCAGATGAAATTATTTACCCGACTGTAGAGAAACAAGTTTGGCAAATGTGTTATTTTGCCTTAATCATCTTTAATGTTCTTGGTCTTTTAAGTTATAAGATGTGTATAAGAGACAGATATATATATATGCAATCTAGAATTGCCATAATCATAAATTTCTTGACTCAGCCACAACCATTATAAACCCACCATAAGTGAAAATTCCTCCCTGCTCCCCTCCCCTCTATTACAATTCCTGCATCTACCACAATTTCCAACATTTTCCCAAAGGTGGCTACATCTTAAAGCTCTTGCTGTAGCCTCCTTCCATACAATGTATTTGTTTCAATTTTTTTTGCATTCTTATTGTATTTTGTACTATATTATTGTATGGAAAATAAGAGTATATTTGATTTGATTTGAATACCATATCATTTATTTCATCATTAAAAACATTTAGAATTCAATAATAAACATGATTAGAAACAAGCACATCTAAAATCCCACAATGGAATAGCCGACCGGGACCAAAAAAAGGGCCCCTGTCTTGGTAGGCCACAGGGCCCCCAGCACCATCGTTACTGAGAATTGATGTATTTTTTTTGGATAGGATAGTCAGATGCCAGTGTCACTAGAGCTCTTGTGAATCATGTTCCAGCGAGCCCTTATTCATTTGGGCCTCAAAGTGCTGGAGAACAGAGCAGTGACACTGGTTCATCCTGCTGTCTTCTCTTTGTCTCTATTTTGTTTGCTTTTGTTAGTCTTAGGTTTTAAATATACAGCCATTACCATTAAAAGTAATTTGCACATTTGTGTGCCCAAAATTTTGAATTCTAACCTGCATTTGAGATGGGGTTCTCATCAAAGTTTCCAGACACTTGGTCAAAGGCTGCCATTCAACAACATTCAGAACAATCTGAAGATGGGTAACAGCTGCCTGGATGCTGTAGTTTAGAAGATTATGCTGTGGATTTTGTCCTCTGCTTTGTAACAATGTATCTGCAACAACCTGATAGGTGAATATTAACAAGTATTAAATGTATTTAATATTCTGACATTCTGTATGAATTGTTGATTTTAAACACAAAAGAAAAAACAGAACTGAACATTTTTTATTGGACTAATAATTTGAATTTAATACTGTTGTCATCATACTGCTACTACTCTCCAGTTTATATATGTTTTTAAGAAAAGAATCTTTTTTTTAAATTTTTTTTTCTTATATTTAAAATTTCATGGATTGAAATCTTCAATACATGTGAATCTATTAATAATGATATGTTGTCCATTAATGCTAATAGGAATTTTCACCAATATTGTTTGCTTTTTCCTTCACCTTGTTTTTCAGGAATGGTATTTCTTGGATAATTTCTCCAAATTTTCTTTTTACCTAAGAAAGTAAATAAATAATTTTAAATTAGAAAAAGGCAGTCATCAAAACTTCAACTAATCAATGAAGCTGTTATTATTCAGACTTCTGAAAGATTGCATGGTGTAGCCTGTTAATTCCAGACATATTTATAGAATAGAACCAGTGACACTGATGCCCTGATTGATTCCACCAGTTACAAACCAGAGCCTTGCAGGCATCAAAATTCCTATGTATGATACATGACTTCATCAGAAAATGTAAGGTTGGGTCCAATTTGGATGGTGGTTTAACTTAAACAAAAACAAAGTTCCTTGAGGAGTAAATATTGAGTGCTTGAATATTAAAAAATTAATAGTAATAGGGAAAGACGCTACAATTAACAATGATTTTGCAACCATAAATACCAGTTAAAATCTTTAAATTGTACAAACCAGACCTCTGCGAGGGTCAAAGGTTCCTATGCGGGCATTTGCAAAATTTTGCACTACTGCATTTGCGATGATGTAAACATGGCAACAAACGAAACCAGTGAGACCTCAAGTGTTAATCCGGCAGTTTTATTTTTATTGTTAAGCACATCGAGACTTAGCAAAATACGCTATTTTAGCCAAAACTATTATTACTATTACTATTATTATGATTATTATTACGGTACTATTATTATTACTATTATTATTGGTGATCCGCTCTCTAGCGGATCACCTCTTGTTATTGTCAGGATCATCATCTTTTTTTCTTATTCTTCTTTCTTTCTCCGTATTTTTGTTCGCACGATATCTCAAGAATGCCACGAGTTACACACAAGATTGCGTCATCGATCAATTTAGCTTCGCCTGGATAGACATGGTGAGGTTTTCAAGGTGACCAGTCATGCGTGACGTCATCTACGCGCAATTTTGCGTTTTTACATTATCGATCATATCAGCCTAACCAATTTCCATTTCAAAATCGTATTAAGTGAGCATTAACTTCGGGTTAATGTTGAATGTACTGTACCTTAATTTTACGCATGCGCTTCATTACGCGCGCGTCAAATTTTTAAAATGTTCAAAATCACTTTTTTACTAACTTAGAGCACGTTTCAGGCCATTTTGAGCTTTTCGAAATTTTTTAAAATTTTCCACTACGCACGCGCATTTTTTGACGTGCGCAGCACGTACAGAAGCTAGTCATTATGTTTTTTCACATAGTTTGGGTTCCTGACATTGTTTTCACAAATTTCCATTCTTTTTGGTCATCTTATGGCCTATAGCAATGCCGTACGTGCGCATCAAATATAGGTATCTTTCCGCGGATTTGTGCCGATATACCAGGTATATAAAGTATACCAAACTGGACGGTCACTCATGTTTCACTTTATAAACCTTCTGACGCCTGGATTTGGAGTCTAGTATATTATTTCCTATTATCTTGAGGAGCCTTTGTTTTTCGTCTAGCGTACACTCTCTCAGTGTTCATCACGGTGTCGACAGTTTATTATTATTATTATGATAATAATAATAATATTAATAATAATAATAATAATATTTTTAATTAGTAACATTAGTTACTAATACATTAACAAAATTAATGATGTTGCCGGTAATAATCGATATGATCATGTTAAGAATCATAAGAACAATTATAACATAATAATAATAATGTAATAATGAAATATAAATAAAAACAAATTACTAAACAATAATTATAACAGGGAGATGTAAACATTTTTTTTTTTTTTTTTTTTACACCGTGATGATAGTAGTAGTAGTAGTAGTAGTAGTAGTAGTAGTAGTAGTAGTAATAATAAGTAAATTAATAAATAATAATAATAATAATAACAATAATAATATTAATATCATTTATAGTAGCAATAATAGAGAAGGTTTTTGTTAGAGCTTACAGTTGTATTTCCAAATACCAGTAAAATAATGTATTTAACTACTTTTTTGTACTACTCTATTTATTATAAAATCGCAAAAAAAAAGAACAAAAAATATATTAAAATAATTAAGATATAAACTACTTTATCATTGTGTTTGACTATATCAAGTTGGCTATAATCAAGCATGTTAAAAGAATGAACAACAATCACAAAATAAATTGAAAACAATGGTGGTATAAAGCAGTTTAGCACTGTGTTTAACTATATCCATTTTGGCTAGAGTTAAGCATGTGGTAGAAAGCAGTTTAGCACTGTGTTTGACTATATCCATTTTGGCTAGAGTCAAGCATGTTAAAGAATGAGTAACAAAATCCCTCTCCCCTCTCTCAAATAAAAAAAAATGGTGGTTAAAAGCTGTTGAGCACTGTGTTTAACTATATCCATTTTGGCTAGAGTCAACCATGTTAAAGAATGAGTAACAAAATCCCCCTCCCTTCTCCCAAAAAAAAATTGTGGTAGAAAGCAGTTTAGCACTGTGTTTGACTATATCCATTTTGGCTAGAGTCAACCATGTTAAAGAATGAGTAAGAAAATCCCCCTCCCCTCTCCAAAAAAATAATTGTGGTAGAAAGCAGTTTAGCACTGTGTTTGACTATATCCATTTTGGCTAAAGTCAACCATGTTAAAGAATGAGTAACAAAATCCCCCTCCCCAGAGTCAACCATGTTAAAGAATGAGTAACAATATCCCCTCCCCTCTCCAAAAAAAAAAAAATAATTGTCGTAGAAAGCAGTTTAGCACTGTGTTTGACTTTATCCATTTTGGCTAGAGTCAACCATGTTAAAGAATGAGTAACAAAATCCCCCTCCCCTCACCCAAAAAAAAAATTGTGGTAGAAAGCAGTTTAGCACTGTGTTTGACCATGGAGGTATAAATGTGGTAGAAAGCAGTTTAGTACTGTGTTTGACTATATCCATTTTGGCTAGAGTCAACCATGTTAAAGAATGAGTAACAAAATCTCCCTCCCCTCTCCCAAATAAAAAAAAAATGGTGGTTAAAAGCAGTTTAGCACTGTGTTTGACTATATCCACTTTGGCTGGAGTCAAGCATGTTAAAGAACGAGTAACAAAATCCCCCTCCACCTCCCAAAAAAAAATTATTGTGGTAGAAAGCAGCTGCACTGTGTTTGACTATATCCATTTTGGCTAGAGTCAAGCATGTTAAAGAATGAGTAACAAAATCCCTCTCCCCTCTCTCAAATAAAAAAAAAGTTGTGGTAAAAAGCAGTTTTGGTTAGAGTCAAAATCTCCCCTCCCCTCAAACACAAACAAACAATTGTGGTATGAAATTCTTTAGCACTGTGTCAGACTATATACATTTTGCACGCAGGTATTTACTCGATTTTTGGAGTATCTGTGCTCTCCGCCGGAACTCCGATTTCTGAGAGCTGAATAAAAGTTTAGACCTCCCTAATTTTGAAGTTTTCGTGTGCAGTACGCAAAACCTATGAAATCGGAGGGTTTATTAACAGTTTTTCTCTATATATATAGAAAGAGCCTGTTTAATAATTAAATAGTACGCGCAAACTCCGAAATCGGAGGTTTGAAGCTTAAAAACTGTGATTTTGGAGTTTTCGCGATCGAAAAAAAAAATCGAGTTTTCGCTCATATTACGCAAAGCCTCCGAAATGTTGAATAACAGTTGTAAACTTCGATTTTGGAGCTTTTGCGTAGGCCTACGCAAAACCTTCGAAATAACCTTCGAGTTGGTTGACTAAAAGTATTGCTCTATACAAAGAAAGCTTGTTTAATTATTAAAAATGGTACAAAGAAACTTCGAAATCGGAGGTTTGATTGAACGTTTGAAAACTATGATTTTGGAGTTTTCGCGTATGCCTATAGTATATGCATACACAAAACCTCAAAATTCGGAGGTTTTTGGCGGCGGGCGCAGATATATATTCGGATTTCGGAGTAACTAACTCCTCCTCTATCAAGCATTAAAGAATGAGTAACAAAATCACAAAAAACATTAAAAACAATAGTATGGAGCAGTTTAGCACTGTGTTAGACCATATCCATATTGGCTATTGTCGAGCATGTAAAGAATGAGTAACAAAATCACAAAAAAGAAAAAAAATAGCAAGTGTTGTATAAAACAGTTTAGCAGTGAAGTTGACTATATCCATGTTCACCTAGGTTGTCTTTATATCACTTTTATGTTTAAAAAATGTATTTTGACAATGTTGAGTTTTAGTAGATTATATTCAAAGATTGTTTAAAACTTTTTTCGTTAGCGGCAAAGGGACAATGCAGAAATTTAGCATAGGCCTATTAGTTTTATTTGCCGTATATTGAATCGATTAGTTTTAGTGATAAAAAATATTCTATAAATACTGTTACCCCCCACAACAGTCTTTGTGAGTTTTATGATTGAACACAAAATAATAATTAGGAAGTTGGACGAGAGGGAGGGGTGGTTTGTCATAATTTGAGCCACGTTTTACACTCCAATATAATATGAAAATGTAAATTAAGTGGTGTTACAAGCTTCTTCATATGTTCTTCATATGATCGAGATTTTTTAAATGCATCCGATGTCGAAATGGATAGTGGAAAGCCAGTCAGTCTAATTATGAATAGGGAGTTCATTTGGATCATAATATTGGAAAATGCTTTTGGTATTGGAAGAAAATTTGGAATTAGGGTCGATTAGAAGTAAATGAATTGAGAGTATTCAGAAAGGGAGAGAAATATAAGTTGGATAATTGGTAAAAATTTGAAGTGCTGTTTCATGAACTACAATCCAAATTGAACATAACACACAAGTTACATAAAAATAAAAGTGTCCCATTTGCCTTTTATGCATATATAATTAATTTTAGCATATAGATAGTTATATAGGCATATTTTGATTTTGATTTAATTTGGCATATATATATCTGTCTCTTATACACATCTCAGTTTAGCACTGTGTTTGACTATATCCATTTTGGCTAGAGTCAACCATGTTAAAGAATGAGTAACAAAA